TCCTTTTCCAAGTTCATCTTTGTAAGAGCAAAAGATAAGAGAAAGACACCTTCAAAACTCTGGTCAAACATTGAGGACACCACAACTAACTGAGATTGAAAAATATAGGTTTTATATATTTACATTTTCATTCCCCCTTTCAAATGATCTAACAGATGATCATCACACAACTTGGATCACATACTGTGCTCAGCTGTGCGTATTGCTTACCACAAAGCAGGTCCAAAGGATTAGCATATGCCAGTTTTTTACTTTAGCCTCGGACTAGGAGTATGAGAACATTAAAATGAATACAATAAAACACAATAAAACATTATGGTGACAAACACATAACGTGATACAATATATAAAATAGGTTAAAAGGAACAATTAGCACTGGCAAATCTGATTACTATACTGAATGTCAGTCAGCAATATCTTTTTCACTACCCCACAAACACAATCCCAATTCAGTAGACTGCAGGACAGCAGTATTACAAGGGTTGTGGCTGTTTTATCCAAGCAGCAAACAACCCCCAGCCAACCAAAATACATAGAATAGCAGCACTGATTGTTAATCAACTCTCATCAACTCTTGCTTCGATTTGAAGTTGATGTGCAATGATGATGGCTATAACTGTACATTCCCACACCACCAACTATAATGAACAAAAATATACTGTAAACGCAACATGCAATAATTTCAATGATTTTACTGAGTTACAGTTCGTATAAGGAAATTAGTCAATTGAAATAAATAAATTAGGACCTAATCTATGGATTTCACATGACTGGGCAGGGGCGCAGTCTTGGGTGGGCATGGGAGGGCATAGACTCACCCACTTGGGAGCCAGGCCCACCCACTGGGGAGCCAGGCCCAGCCAATCAAAATGAGTTTTTCCCCACAAAAGGGCTTTATTACAGAAAGAAATACTCCTCAGTTTCATCAGCTGTCTGGGTGACTGGTCTCAGACGATCCCACAGGTGTAGAAGCCGGATGTGGCGTTACTGGGCTAGAGTGGTTACATGTGGTCTGCGGTTGTGAGGCCTGTTGGACGTACTGCCAAATTCTCTAAAAGACGTTGGAGGCGGCTTATGGCAGAGAAATTAACATTCAATTCTCTGGCAACAGTTCTGGGGGACATTCCTGCAGTCAGCATGCCAATTGCACGCGCCCTCAAAACTGGATGGATTATCTTGGCAAAGGATAAATGCTCACTAACAGGGATGTAAACAAATTTGTGCACAAAATGTGAGAGAAATAAGCTGGATAACTATAGAACATTTCTGGGATCTTTTATTTCAGCTCATGAAACATGGGACCAACACTTTACATGTTGCGTTTATATTTTAGTTCAGTATACAAACAGTAGCTTAAAGGGCTGGTTACATCAAAAGGCTGGCTACATCAAAAGGCTGGCTACATCAACACTTTGATTGTGGATAAAAGATCCATCAATGTGATTCAGGAAATCATCAAGGATGATTCGGCATTATCCTGTCATGTTGACAAAAAAACTAACTTGGATTGCACAAGTTGGTTGTTTGATTTACTGAGAACACAGAATGTGTGTGTAAAGTGTTGGTCCATAGACCACTTCCTCTTGCCTTTGCTTTGCTAGCTGCAGCTAACTCACTCCTAAAAAGCAACTTCTTGTTTTGAAAATGGCCTGTGTGGCACCGATATGATTCAGAAATATTGATTCTAGTGTCAAAATTGAATACAAAGTGTTGATAGGATAATTTTGGTCGTAAAGTAATTCTCATCCAAAACAGAGATTTGCGAGATGATAGGAAAAATGTGTATGTCACGTAATGAAGGGTAACGTAACAGTTTTCCATGGTTTGGGTTTATTTTAATCCTGCCCACAGCTGGCAGCACCCAAGTAATCATAAATTCAGAGTGCAGCTGTATGCGACCTGATCTTAATGCCCATGGTCAATTTGGCGTGACATTCGATATCCCTATGGGTCTAGTTAGGGACCATCGGTAAATTACACAATGAGACAATATTTTAAAAGGTCAAAAGCTCCAAATTTAAATGACTGAAACTCAAAGCAACTTTAAATCGTAGAAATTCATATACAAATATTGAAAGCATTTATTGAGACAACTAAAAGATGTGCAACATGAAAATATTGAAAATATTGTCCCATTTACATTGTGTTATTTATTGACAGTCCCTAACTATCCCCAGAGATAGGCTATCCACCAGCCAGATGAAGCTAATTGGCGAAGTGATTTGCACCTGTGAACACACACAAGAGACACCCACGTCAAACCACACCCAGAAACCAACTCACGTTTGAATTCAGTCATGGCACCTAGCATTTCTTAATGAACCAAATGTAAAAACGAGGCTAAATCAGGAAGTGCAGTCGAGGCCAAATCAGGAAGTGCAGTCGCCTTTTTAAAGTTTGTGGGGATGGTGGTCTATGAGCGCATACTGTATCTAAAAAGGAACACAAACCCACACATTGTACACTCATATGTCAAGAAACAAATCAAGGGCCTGTTCCACTACCGTTAACTCAGAAGTAGTGTACACACATTCAGTTACTTGCAGGTGCATAAAGTCAAGTTATGAAAGAAAGACACACTGTTGAATGTTATTGCTCCCACAGTTAATTGAGAGACTCAAACAGACAGAGGTACAAAATGAGTGGATCCACTGCTGTCATTGTGTTACTGTTAAGGTGCTGCTGACTTAGGGCTGAATTCTGACTGGAGAAGCACAAGCTGAAATCAAACATCATTGATGTAACTCTGCGATATGCTTGAAAGTTTGAGTAACTTTTGCATATCTCAAGTAGCCTCTAAAGGCCAGGGGCCATATGTATCAAGTGTCTCAGAGTAGTGCTGATCTAGGATCAGGTCCCCCCATCCATGTATTCTTATTCATTGAGATTAAAAGGCAAAGCTCATCCTAAATCAGTACTCTCTGAGACCCTTGATACATACGGCCCATAGGGCTATATCCATAGGATTAGGATTTAGAACATGGCTTTATCCTTCTCTCAGTGGTTGTCCTTCAGCTCAGACCACTTCCATTCTTGAGGCTGAGCAGAGAGAGAGAGGAGATGGTCATGATCCTTTAACCACAGTATCAACTGGAACATATTTCAACACATTTGCAGAAAAAAAGAATGATCTTGAGACATATTTACGCAATGTCATAGAAAGATACTGTTTTTGGCTGTGGGGTTGGGTTTAGGTTGATGTGGATTTTGCACATACAGTCAGGTCCAAAATGATTGGCACCCCTGATAAAGATTAGCAAAAAATACAATAAAATAAATAATACAAATAATGAGCTATATTGTATGCACTTTTTTGTGTGAAAATTATATAATTTCATACTAATACAATTGCTCAGATAAAGATTTTTATTTTTTTATTTTTAGAAGTAATATTTTCTAACTCAAAAAGATAGGGGTCAAACTTATTGGCACCCCTGTTTTCAATACCTTTCAATAACTCACCTTGCGAGGATAATGGCACAGAACCTTTTTCTAACAAGTTTTATGAGATTGGAGAACACATTGGGAGGGATCTTACACCATTTCTTCATACAGAATCTTTCCAGATCATTGATGTGTTTTGTCTGCACTTACAGACTTCCTTCTTCTATTAAAGCCACAGGTTTTCAATGGGGTTCAAGTTTGGAGACTGAAATGGCCATGTGGGAGGACCACACACCATATAATTGCGTGATATGATGGTTAGATATATCAATATTTCCGCATAAAGGCCTTTCCACCGCCATTTCTCACATAATTTATTTTAACGACACAAAAAGATCCCACAATGTCGAACGAACAAATGACCTGTCGGCATTTATAAAACTGTACCGAATTGTCCTGTTTCCATCATAGCTGTCATTATTTTTTTTATACGGAATGACTTTACTCACATAAAAACTGTGGATGGAATCGTGGTTAGTGAAATGCTTACTAACGGGTCCTTTTCCAACAATGCAACAATGCTTCCTACTGACAAAGAGAGTAAATTACAGAATAAACCCCCAAAAGGCAATACAATGTTTTTGTACGCAAACTCTGGAGTGAATCAAAATGAAACATTCAGTTCTGATTTATTTCCATTTTATTATGTCACTTTAGTCAATATAATTTTAAACATGAGTAATGCAGGTAAAACCTAACCTTGAGTTTTATGTGACGACCCTCCCACTCTGTCTGCCGAATTCTTTCTCTCTGCTCTTGTTTCCCTTAATAGGATGTCGGTGGGCGGAGCTGGGAGGGTCGTCAGCGAAATGGGACACACCTGGGCTCGGGTGTGTCCCGGGGATAAATACACCTTTCCCCCCATACATCGAGGAGACTCTCTCCACGCTGACACACTGTTGTTGTTTTAGTTTTTTGGCATTTTTGGTCTTTGTGTTCGTTCGTTTGGTTTGGCACCTCTCAACACCCCTCATTATCACCATCTATGCACTCATCCACCCACTTACACTACTGACTACACACACCATTGTTACTTGGATATAGTTTACTTGATTTGTTATTTCTTTATCTCCACGTTGTCTCCCTCTTTGTTACGGGCTACGAGCCGGTTCGTAACAGTTATCAGCAAACATTTTCGAATAGACGTTTGTCTAAGAAGCTGCTATTGTGCTATATACAAACAAATAAAACATAACACTATCATTAAAAACACATCTTAGTGGCCTGTGTGGTCCAGGGGTTAGTACCATGGATCTTGGCCCACATGTACAGCTTAGGCTAACAGAGTCAGAATGGGTTTAAAACCGACCCACTTCTGATTCGCAAACTCTCCTACGGGTCTGGTCTCCTCTTCACTGTCCTATCTCCACTGTCCTATTTCAATAAAATAATAAAACCCTTAAAGAAAACACTTCTTAATGGTACAAAAACTGAACTGTTCCCAGAACCAAATAGAGTAGCTGGCCAGCACACACATGAGATTTGGTTCTGGGTGCTGAGATTAGGCTGTGAAAGAGTGAGTTTAGTCTTCATGTTGATGTCTTGGCTCCCTGAGGTTAGTTGACAGTGGAGTAGAGGGAGCTGGGGTCAGCAGTGTTCTCTGGCTCTCTCCTTCTGGTCACTGCATCTTCACCCTGGACCTAGAGACAACACACACACACACACGCAACAAACACACACACACACACACACACACACACACACACACACACACACGCACACACACACACACACACACACACACATAACAAAGTAAAAACTTTAAAGAGTGTATAGGAGGGAGAGTCATACCATTACAATATGTTCAGTATAGCTTCACTTACATCAACTCTCTGAGGGGGATTTTGGTTGAAGTGGAGGATGGAAGCATAGGTGATTCTGTCAGCAGGTTGACTCTACAAGTGTCAAAATTGTTATTGAAATATGAATCATTTAAACTGGACATTAGTCTCAATGCTTGATAATAACTGGGTCATATCATGTTCCATATGTCCAAATAAAATGTATATTGATCCACTAACCGTGTCCTCATTGGTTGGTGGGGTGGAGTGGTTTACTGCATTCAGACTCTATATGAGGAATAATGATAATCAATTCAAAACAATGAATACATTGTGAAACCTGTTAGTTGTTGAGGGCAGAGGGTGTATTTATTAAGCCATATCTTTGTTACTCACAATCCTGTCATCAGTTGTCATTTGAGTCTCTGAAAAGAGCAAACAACAACTTCAGAAGAATTGATACATTGAAAGTGACTTCATTACTGTGTTATTATTGAACTCCATTAAACCCAGAAGAAAAAGAAAAAAACTAATAAAACAAAGTTCTCCTTACTTGTTCTCCTTCTGCGTGCTATGATGACAGCCGCAACGACACACACAGGTGCTCCCACAGCCACTCCTACTCCCATAGTGAGGATGAGGGTCTGAGAATCTGAGACGACCAGAGAGGGGATGGGGGTCTGGTCTTTAGCAGAAAAGACATCAGCGTTACACAGACAAGCAGAAATTCACACATGAGCCACGTTAAAAACGTGAACAACATGAAAGTTTAGCTGCATATCGTCGCAGTCTGATGAAAGCCTCTGATCTCCAGAACATAAACTTTTCAGGAAATTGAAAAAATGACCATAATTTCTCATTACAATTATCAAACTTGTTCTACATTTTATTGGACTTAGAGTCATGCAATGTTCAGAGTACATTGAGGGAAGTTACTTCTTTTAATAAATAAAAAATAAATCAAATTGGCAAAAATGTTGTTAGAAGTTTTTCAGACAGTGACGATAATACAATTGCATGCTCTGTGTATTGAACAAGGTAATACATCTGACTTTGGCCCAATGCTGTCCCACTCAAACCATACAACTGAGAATGGAAATAGTATCAAATACAATACCAGCAGAAGATGGGGAGGTGGCTGACAAGGCTGGTCCTGCAGTAGAGGCTGTACTGGATAGTTCTTGAAAACAAACAGGGTGTTTTCATTGGTGAATAAGGGTGACATCACAGTACAGAATGGATCCACATCCACTGACTCACTCTATGTTGCCTGTAGAGTTTTCTCTACTGCAATCTGCTAAATCTTTCTCTACTCCAATCTCTAGAGCACTAGACAAGCAGTACTTCCTATAAATATGTTTGGGGCTGTTTTTACATTACCAGTCTAATTTAGACTGTTGCGTAGGACTGATGGTTGTCTTGACTGAACTGTCTGAAAAACATAAAATCAAGTGTATTTCTCGACCCAGAAAAAGGTATACAATACTTGCTGGCTGTTTTCCACATGATTAGAAACACTACACTGCACAGTGACATTTAAGCTCTGCTTTAAACAGTAATACTCACTGATTAGAACAGACAGTTTAACAGGAGCATCACCTCCATGTTGTGGTCCACCCTTTGTAAGGAACTGTCGACAGAAGTAGATTCCAGCATCCTCATCTCTGACATCACTGACATTTAGAGAACAGTCAGACCCTAAACTCAATCTCTCTGCTCTCTTTGTCTTGGCAACTTCGATCTTCCCAAGTGTGACCTCTTCAATACTAACTTCAGACACAGTTTTGCTATAGATCCATGTAGTTGAGGTACAGTTTGGATAAACCACATTGGTACACGGCAGACTGACATCATCTCCCACTCTGGAGACCATTGAGAGATTTTCTCTACTGACAACTGGAAGGAGTATGACATCAGATTATTATTTACTGGTAATACAAATTACATAATATTTCATAGGTATTCTTATCGATATTCTTCACAGGTGTACTGAATAATAAAAAAGTAATTATATATACAATAGTGACGATAAAAGTAGACAGAAAAACAACAGAAATGTAAACATAACTTCAGCATATCTATTTTTCTCAGATTGATGGTTTTACGTGTTGAATGTGAGTGATGGTCTCTTAATAAATAGTATTGTTATTCTCTCTCTCCTCTGTCTTACCTGTTAGCAGGTACAAAACAGTCACAAGCAGTCCCAAAGAAGAATGATGGACGTTAGCCATTGTCCTCTCTCTCTCTCTCTCTCTCTCTCTCTCTCTCTCTCTCTCTCTCTCTCTCTCTCTCTCTCTCTCTCTCCTCTCTCTCTCTCTCTCTCTCTCTCTCCTCTGTTTCTGTCTCTCCTCTGTCAGAGTGTCTCTGCACTGTACATTTCTCATCATACAGCAGCATCTCGATTCACCACTATAGCATCACTTCCTCAAAGCAGTCATGTTTTTTTCTCTAGTTTCTGACACCTTGGTGAGAATGCTCCAGAATGCACTCCCTACAGTTCACTCCCAAGGCCTTCAATATTCTCCTGTACGACCACACAAGCCACACTACCAGACATGTGATAAGACCATTTATTGATTTGGTGGTGTGTTTATTTGTTGTGTGTGACTTTTGATGATCCACTGTCCATATACTTCGGCAGGTTATATATTTTACCTGTTTGTGTATGACATCACATTTTCTGTATGTTTCTGCATATGTACCAATATGTTCAAATAAACCTAAACCTATTGAGTGCTAAACAGGACATCAAATCATGTTCCTGTAATAGCAGGGCATATTGCAGATACCAGCTTACTGAAGCAGCACATTTAACTGTGTTTGTAGCTAAAGGGTCTGAAAAAGGAAATATATGAGAATGTGTTTACAAACTAAAGGTTCACTCGTATATGAAACCATTTCCTCTAAAGGCTCATATCCCACCTTGGTAATGGAGGGAATTTCAATTGTTAGAGAGGTGAATGTAACTGACACAAATAATGTAGCTATATAAACAGAAGAATGAATAGGTATGTCTATGTCTACAACTGGTCCTTCTCTCAGTGGTTATTTGAACTCAGACCACTACTGTTTTTCTGAGTGTGAGCAGAGAGAGAGAAAGGTCGTGGTTATGGGTTGTATTTTTAACACAACTTCAAAATCTTCATGTATTTATTTAGCAACAACAACACAGAAAGATACCGTGGGAACAGTTGTCTTTAGTGTTACTATGAGAATTGACATAGAGACACTATTTTGGGCTGTTGGATTGGATGGGTGTTGGTCTTGTGTGTCCATCCTTCCAAATGCTGCTGCTACTCTGTTTATAATTTATGCATAGTCACTTTAACTCAACCCACATGTACATATTACCTCAATTACCTCGAGTAACCGGTGCCCCCCGCACATTGACTCTGTACCGGTACCCCCCTGTATATAGCCTCCCTACTGTTATTTCACATTGACTCTGTACCGGTACCCCCTGTATATAGCCTCCCTACTGTTATTTCACATTGACTCTGTACCGGTACCCCCTGTATATAGCCTCCCTACTGTTATTTCACATTGACTCTGTACCGGTACCCCCCTGTATATAGCCTCCCTACTGTTATTACACATTGACTCTGTACCGGTACCCCCCTGTACATAGCTTCCCTACTGTTATTTCACATTGACTCTGTACCGTTACCCCCTGTATATAGCCTCCCTACTGTTATTTTACTTTACTGCTGCTCTTTAACTATTTGCTATTTTCTATTTTTTACTTATCTATTTTTTACTTAACACTTAAAGCTGATGTCCATCTATTATAGTGCATAGTGCGGAAGATGTAGTAACTTTCTGTATCTTTTTACAAACCTTCATTTTCTTGCATGCAGTAGGGGTGCAGATATCAATTAAGCAAAGCATGGTTGATGTGTATGATAAGTTAGTTTTTTTTACATTTGCTGTCCATTGTGAATGAAGTCAGCATTGAGAAATTCATTGGTTTGGTTTCATTCATCTTTTTTTGCCTAAGCTGACTTAAAATTATGACAATGCTTTTCCTGAAACAGTTTTGAAATAAACTAATAAAAATACAATATTTCAAAGTATTTGTCAGTTACAGGTGTACGTTTTTTTTTACTGTACACTTCCATAATATATGGTAAAGCATGAATGCATTGACCTTATTTTCTATCTTACAAAGTAGTCAGCAGCAATTTTTAGTTATTCCCATTGACATTACAAATAAAAGGACTGTAGCCTAATTTTTTCCTTCGAAATGACGTCACATACTACTCCCTTCGTAATCTTTACCTGCAGCAGAGTTTCTCGCCGGGTGCGGTGTTGAGTCCCTGTAATCCAATTCACTAGGAGGCTGAGGTTGATGGATCGAGTGAGCGGAGGAGCTTCGGGCAGTACCAGGACATGTCGAACGGATGTCCGCACTAAGTTCAGTATCGATGTTGTGCTCCTGGGGAGCCTGGAACCACCAGATCGTCTAAGGAGTAGTGCCCAGGTCGGAAACGAAGCAGGTCAAAATCCTGGTGCCGTCCAGTAGTGGAATAGCGCCTGTGAGTAGACGCAGCCTTGGCAAGACATCGAAACCCAATCTTTTTATCAATTTATTTTATTTTAAAAACCTGCTTTCCTGTGGGAATTGCCTCTACAAAATGTTGTTTAGCAGACCATGAAAACTTGATTAAATTTAGCAGGTTATCAAAGATAATATAAGATTACCTTCTTATGAGAATTGAGAATCATACTAACTCATACTGACGACAGTAGTAAATAATATAATGCTACAGGGCCCGTTGAGAGCAAAATATTATTGGAAGTAAAAAGACACTTGTGTTCATGATTAAACACAGGATCATCATGTATAGCCTTTTGTTGCCAGACAACTGTTGCCAGACCACGATGTCATAATGAAACATCAAATGTCGTAATGAATTTGGTTATAATATTCCCAGGGCTTTAGATGTGATAAACACAAGGGACCATCATTTGGGACATTTGGAACCATATGATGCTGAAATATGTAATTCAGAGTTTATGAGCAGTCTGAAGGATGAATGGTAAAATTTGGTGGTTTAGATTCAAGATTAGCCCACTATTTCTGAAATATTGAACTTTAATTACACATGGTTGAGATATTAGCCTACTCTTATCCAGAGCGACTTACAGTTAGTGAGTGCATACATTATTTTTCATACTGGCCCCACGTGGGAATCGAACCCACAACCCTGGCATTGCAAACGCCATGCTCCAACTGAGCTACATCCCCGCCGGCCATTCCCTCCCCTGCATACATTATTTTTCATACTGGCCCCACGTGGGAATCGAACCCACAACCCTGGCGTTGCAAACGCCATGCTCCAACTGAGCACAAGCATTTTGGGGGGCGGGCCCGGCCCCGGCCCCGGCCCCGGCCCCCTATGGCCCGCCCATAGCGACTGGTGTGCTTGTCAGTAGTTGGTATTCAGACTGACATTGTGCAGGTGCGTAACGGGCTTTGCAGGCGTGGTTCCCTTGCGTGGGCTGAATAAAGTAATTCAACCACTGAAAACCCCACTTGTTAGCCAACATCTTGTCTCATGGATTTTTCATTCAGTACATTTATCTTAAACGATTCCTTTAAACACGGTGTAACATTAATTCTAATTTTGTTGACAGACTAGAATACATCAAGAGAAGGGGTTCAGAAAATAGGGAACAATGAAAGAAAACCATCTAAATATATGCATATTCATCTCCGTTTCAAACCAACTGGTTGATGTAAAAATACTCTGATCTTGTAGATTATTTCATCACCTTTGAGGGTTAGGAAAGTATGTAGGAATAATACAAAAAGAGGTTTAGAGCGCTTTCATGCACGAAATACATGATCCAAATAGGCTACATGTCCCAAATTATTGCACAACGTTAGCCTAACATGATCCACTAATGCTAGCGACCATCAGGAACAACTACACGGACATCACAGAGGAAAGAAAGAAATTGGAATGGAAGGATGCAAAATGTAAGCTACAAATTGAAGAAAACTAACACTAAAGTGACAGTTATAAATGTATGTGGGTATTACTGACAATGGCTCCTGATAGTGGCTAATATTTAACATGAAACAAATTGTAAAATAAAATGGAGGAAAGCCCAGGCATAGGCTATAATTAAAACATTCTAAAGAGAATACATGAAATTATGAGAGCACACAATTAAAATTCTGAAAAATGGCACAGCTATTTAAAGCCTACTTCACTGTGGAAAAGAGGCCACAACATGTCATGTTGTTATGATTTTTCAAGTTTGCTTCTATATGGCTGGTTTCACATTCCTCTCCAGGGATCATAAGGAAAAATAATCTAAAACAATTGCTACTGTATATGTATTTACAATCCCCTTCTCCAAGAGGATTACTAATTTAACTAGTTCTTATCAATAGCTCTTATCCATTTATAAATGACAGTGCATGGACAATGCTACTATTTCTATCGGATAAAATAAATAAATGCTTTTTCCACTTGGAATCGGTAGGTTCGCTGGACCTTATTTATGGTTTCCTCGCAGATAAAGGTGGTGGAATTATGAGGGAATTAAGTCAATGTCAGAATCAGGGACGGCCTGTTCAATAGGGCGATATGGGCGACGCACTGCCAAACGGGAAAAGGAAGGGATTTTTTTTCTAATCAATTATATCACGGCAACAGTAGTTATCAGTGTTGTAATCTGATCTGACTGCCACTAAATGTCAAATCAGGCTAAAGTCGTGCTTCAAATGGCCCCGCCCGTTTTTGGGGCGATTTCAGTCAGGTTGAAAATCGCCCAGAAGTGTCTCATAGCCTGTCATGTAAAATCTATTTTTTTAAAATTTCAAAGCTTTCAATACATTCTCTATGGGTGTCTGTGGGCTTGCACTTACGCGCTTTCGTCATACGTGACGTAACCATGAACGTAACTAAGAAAATAGCGGCTAGCAGCGTCTCTGTTGCGACCTGCAGTGTGGCGTTATCTTATGTTTTTAATTTGTACACTTAGTGGCGTTATTTTATGTTTTTAATTTGTAGACTTAGTTTACAAACATTCTGCCAACCATGGATTTCCAGTGGTGGGTTTTGGACTGATCTTGTTGATCGTGTACATACCCGCTACGAACGGACTAAATAATGAAAACGCTGCTGGCAGCGGAATCCAATACAGCTGGGAGACTTGGCTGGATGACAGAGTCCCGGACAGAGAAGTGGAGCCGGCCGACTTCACCCTGGTCAGAGCG